TTGTTTAACTTTTGATTAACTTTTCGTTTATTTGTTTAGAGCTCTCATAAGAACTACGAAGAGGTGGCACTCATCGGGTCCGGCGCTTACGGAACCGTATATAAGGCCCGCGACCTCAACAACGACGGCCAGTTGGTGGCCCTCAAGAAAGTGCGCGTCCCTCTCAACGAGGATGGAGTTCCCATCAGTCTTCTCAGGGAGATCTCTGTACTGAAACAGTTGCAGAGCTTCGAGCACCCCAATGTGGTCAGGTATGCCATCCATTCACATCCCTTGTCGCACACTGTGTCTCATACCTTGTGTTGGTGTCAGGCTTCTCGACATATGTCACGGCAAACGACTCGAACACGAGAGGCAACTCATCCTCTTCCTGGTCTTCGAACACGTCGAGCAAGACTTAGCCACTTATCTACTCAACTGTCCGCCGCCGGGCATAGGACCCGATCGGATCAAAGTAGTGATAATTGTCTACCATTTACTGCTAAACAGTTATAAAACTGATCAATGATTTGATAAAACATTAGGAACTTCTGTACCAATTGCTCACTGGAGTGGACTTCTTGCACTCCAATCGCATCGTTCACAGAGACCTCAAACCGGCTAATATTCTCGTGACAAATGAAGGACAACTCAAACTCGCAGACTTCGGGTTGGCCCGCATTTACCAACAAACACAACCACTCACTGCCGTTGTGGTGACCCTCTGGTACAGAGCGCCCGAAGTGCTGCTTCAGTCCAGTTATGCCAGTCCTGTGGACATCTGGAGTGTCGGCTGTATTTACGCCGAACTCTTCACTCGTTTGCCCTTATTTTGTGGCCAATCAGAGAACGACCAGTTGTGCAAAATATTCAATATAATAGGCGCTCCCCTTGAGTGCGAGTGGCCAAAGGAACTGACACTGCCGTGGAGTACATTCTCCAACTTCAAAAAGACTGACTTCGAGGATATTGTCAAAGATATTTGCGAAGACGGCAAGAATTTATTAGAGGTATACACCACTCATTCATACATTTCTTAGGAATTGAGTTTAATTTTGAAATAATTGTCCAGAAAATGCTTCAGTTTGACGCCAACAAGCGAATCGGTGCCCGACAGGCGCTTATGCACCCGTACTTCAAAGAGTATGAACTCTATCCACCCAAATATGACAATAACCTAAACAACAAATTCAATTCCGGTAATAATGACGACACTTCAT